AGGGCGCCTCCGCCTGGCCCCGCCCGGCCCGGCCCGAGGCGGGACAGGAGGGAAGGGAAAGGAAGGGAAAGGAAAGGAAGGGAAGGGAGGACGAGGGAGGACAGGACCTTCTTTCTGCAGCGGGATAAAGGAAGAGCATACCCCAGCTCGTCCCCCCCCCCCCGGGATGGGGTCCTACTCGGGGAGACCGCCTGGAGCCAAGGCTGAAGGTCTCGGGTGCCAGGGGGGCACCGTGGGGACGTTTCACAGCCTAACAGCTTAATGAAGGGCTGCTCCCTGCTCCCGTTCCCCTCCTGCCTTGCCAGCAGCAGGGCTCACACGCGCCCGCTCGCCTGCGAGGCCCGGGGCAAGAGGGAAAAGCAAAACCACCGAGACCCTCCATAAAACCCCAGCGGCGAGGCACCAGCAGCGCTCCCCAGGCCTTCGGGCCAGGGCTGATTTACAGAGACAGGGGCAGGGGGCATCTCTGGGGAGGCAGCGGACCTCGGCCCACTGGCTGGGAACGGCGTTTCTGCTGCCCAGTGGAATATTCCACTCTGTCGGCGATGCTGAAGGGCAAAGCCAGCAGCAGATATTCCCAGCCGGCTCAGGGAAGCAAGGTGGGATGCTCTGATTTTCCTGCTGGGACACAAGCCCAGTGTCACCCACAGTGGGACCCGCACCCTTCACCCTGGCTTTCCCAGGGAAACTTGCCAGATTCCCGGTGGCAGAAACCACCACCGCATGCTCTCAGACACCCCTGGCCTCCGGGCATGCAGCTCCCCGCTCCCCCGGGAGCAGCGCACAGGCAGCCGCAGGCAGCCTCCTCCCTGCCTTCCCAATGGCGTGTCCCCTTCCAGCTGCCGCTGTGGGATAAAAAGCACGTGGGGGCTTTATCATGAGCAGCAGCGGATCCTTGTGGGCAGGGGTTTCCTCTGGGCAGGGGCCAGGGGCTGACGCTGGGCACTGCGCGGACACAGGCGTGTTGGGGAACAACAACCCAGGACGGATGCTTGGGTGGCGTGACTGGGATCAAACCGGAGGCGGTTTGCTGATGCAAACTCTGCCCTCTGGACAGACAGTACAGCACACGGAGACATCACGCTTTTCTGCATATCCCACGACACGGGGAAGTTTGGTTTTGCCAGGATCTCATCTTGGCGACCACGAGACCAAAGAGGAATCAGATTTGGGGTGTGAAGAACTGCGCTTGCGTCACAGCAACCCCGTGCAACTCTGCAGGCTTCAGGAAGAGC